GTTTTGAAATCTGCGCTACCAGCCAAAATTAGCCCTGCTACATTTACTTTATCGTTTCGAATAAATATTTCAACAGCTGTTTCCGCAACCTTCCTTACATAATTGTGACGTTTCTCCATACGAAGTCGTGCGAAACGCAGCGCAGATTGTCCACCACGACCTGCGAAGATGCAGTGATCAAATTTATCATACATCATGCTAACTCTGATAAAAAAAAACTATAATTAATTCCCACAAAAAAAGCAGAAATGGAAACAAAAATTACCATGCTTTTTTGGTAAATCAACGGTAAATTTGTGTAGCACTTCACGCGTATTACCTTGCAATGTTCCAAACAATGACCCATTACCATCCATTATAATGAATCCAAATTTATTGTCATCAGCCAACAGGGCTAAAAGACATAAATGATAGCATGGCATAATTTCACGATATTTGCTTGCATATCACTAAACGTACGTGGTAGCAGCGAATTTAATTTTGTTCGTCACGTTCTGCGTTCAAATAAATTAATCAAATAAAATTCACAAATACCCTGCAATGCTTCTGTATGGAATTTGTTATCACAAAGATAAAGTGAAGTATTTATTGGTTTGAATGGTTCGAAATCAATGTTCACTTTCTTCTCCTTCCCTTCATCCGTTACAATGGTACCACAATAAATCACCAAACCATTTGTTGGTACTAAAAAAAAAACAATCATTGATACTCGTGTTTTGTAAGTGTTATTGTTGAAATTTTGACTGTCCGATAGCATAGGTCAACATAATGCATATCGGATTATCTTATCTATATTCTAGTAGATGCACTAACCTTTGTTATAAAGTTTTAGCCTTCCTTGTACCGATGTTATAGCACCTAATACGGATAACCGGTTTACTCGAGATTTGATATTTGACGCAGTACCATATTCGTCGGCTAACATTTTTGAGATACGCGCAATTTGATCTCGTGGCGGTATTATCAATGAAATCATCGATGTACCATTCCTGAATATGTCCATTATTTTATTTCGTACAGTTTTTATTTTTAAATAAATTTGCTCTACGCATCAGAAATTGAATCGATCACTAACCCGCGAGCCATTTCCAAACTTTTTATCAACCGTTTGATTTTCCACACTTCAACGTTATGATCCGCCGCATCTTCACCGGATCCAGATGGTCCAGACATTACTACTAACGTTTGCGTTTATTCACGACGTTCAGCAAATAAATAATGCCCTGCTCGCCCTCTTTAAAAATTATCAGTTCAGTGTTCACAACCTAACAAAAAATGCGTAATGTGGCATATCGACAGTTAAGTAATAATACGTAGATCAACACGTTTAATCCGATCCTTGTCCCGTTAATTAAATTATCAATGACTATCTGTCATGAATTATTATTCCTTTGTATCATGAATTATTCTTTTGCATGAATCTGTTTAATTTGAAACCTTCAATTTACTTCAGGCTATCTGTCATTCACTACAGTCATTCCTACACCATTTCGATACTTCATTCAGCTATGGTTTCAATAATGATCATCCGACATCGATCTTTGCTTCATTTCATGAAAATTCTACAACAAATACCATATTTCTTAACGTATATGCAACACAACGTGTATCAGTCATATATCACACAGCTAAAATTTACTGCTAAATTTTTTGATTCAAAAATGTAAATGCTAGAGAAGTATTGGAAAAGTAACCTGAACATTGTCATACCAATTGTGACAATTACGCTCTCCTATGAGAAAAGAGGAAAGAAATATGGTTCAAACAGTATGTTTCAACTTTGAAGAATTACTTTAGTACCTCATCTCAAGATGATTAGCTTAATACCTGAAATACTCCATTTATACCACAAATAACTACCGATGACGTCACCACCCCACAAAACTATCACTCTGACAATTCCATGCCGCGATGCATTTCCAAAATTTTGGGAAAACTGCAAACACCCAAGAAACTTCGTTTCGTACAAGGGAGCATAGTGCAACATTCCATTTCATTTCAAATAACTATTCCATTCAGTTCAGATATTTTCGATAATTCAGTACTGACTGTTGTATTTTCAGGAATTAAGAATATTTTTGTTATGCGATTATTGACTATTCCATTCAGGAGTTCGAATATTTTCGATATATGAGTCCTTTTATGGAATTCTATTTTTTTTTTTTTGAACAATTAATTCTATTTATAATAAGGAAAATGCCTAAATGTTTCAATGTTCTGTATAACAATACAACTTATATTTTACAAAAAAATTAAGATAAACATGAGAAGCGTAGCATTTGATTTACAATCATTTTTCATAAATCATTATCAATTAATCAAATCATATTGTTAGCAGTTTTAACATCCTGGATAGTAAATTAGCTTTATATCACATATTATTGATCACTTATCTTTTTCATGTAATAATCTAATGACACTGTAACATTCAAAATATACAAACAAAAACACCGAGAATTTCTTATCCTTCTACATTTCATTTTTTTTTTATTTCAGGAAAAAAAAAAGATTCATGTCTTCCAAATAAGAAATACATTTAGAAAACAAAAAAGTGCTACTTGTTGATTGCTGACAAGTATGATTAAATCGTTAGGAAAAGGATGAATTCAACTGGAAAGAAATTACAATAAAAATGATGTGTTTATAGGAGAAATTTTAGTGGAAATTAAACAATTAAATAACTGATAATATATTTTATTTGATATATCAAAAATTCCTATTTGTATAACTCAATTATATTTATCGATTGTGACAGTATTATGCATGCTCAAAAAGATAATTTTGTTTTGTGACAATTTTGAAAATAGTTTTTTGCTTTGCTCCTTTTTTTTTTTCAAAAGGAAACGTTCTATTTTTTCAGCGCTTAAAATAATTATTGTTTCAATTTTTATTCATACACTATTAAAATGTCGAAATGGACGAAATGATAAAATGATAGCAAGGCTAACGATGAATGATGTTTACAAATAAATGAATTTTATTATTCAGCTAAAATTTACGCTTCATTTATGGTCTTCTCTTGTGATGAGGAAGAGAAAAAAGAAAAAATGCTCCAAAAAACTACTCCATTATCGTAATTAAATTTCTGTAATAAATTTTTTAATAAATTTTTCTGTCATTATTATAATTTCATTTTTGATATTTTAACACTGTATTATTTATGTTTAGGCGAATGATTTCTATTATGTTTGATAATTTCGTTTATTCAAATAGTTATTAAGAAATGCAAATAATTTATATTTGAAACAGTTATGATGTTATAAATGCAATTGGTAATAATTTTAGCATTTTTTTCATTTCCAAGATTATTATTCCCAATTTGTAATATATCTATTTGTAAGTGATAATAATTGCGGATTACAGGCTCCTAAAATATGAATGATAAATGTAATAAATGTTTAAAAGTTTTCAAAAATTAACGAATGTGTTTAAAATATAAGTGATAAATGTGATAAGATCAAAATGTCCGCCATCTTTCAAACAAACAACGATGGCAACGTTTGCATTACTTAAACGGATTATGGATTTTAAAAGGAAGATAAACGGATAAGTTGTTTGAAATGTGTAAAATTTAAGGTGCTTGTTTTGATCAAACAGAATAGCTTATTAGCTATCAAGAACAAGCAAGAAATTATATATGAATATTGATATAAGCGTAAAATTGCACTTTACACAAAAAAAATTTAATAGTAGCTCTCCACTTGAAACAATAAATTCAATAAAACTAATTCAATGAATCAGTTCATCTACCGTAGATTTTCTTGATCACTTTTACTTTCAATAAGATCTTCTATTACATTCATTATTTTATAAAATATATCTTCATGTTCATGTATTTTACTTGTTTAAGTTTCATGTATCACACATTCACATTTACGATCACGCTATTCCTCTGATATCTCATAATTACAGTGGGAAAGCTTAATATTATCCAACCTTTACTTTCTATTTCTGAAGTATTCAACTTTTACTTTCTCTTCTTGATGTATCTAATCTTTGCTTTCTATTCTTGAGGTATCCAACTTTTATTTTCTATTTCTAATGCATCTAACCCTTACTTTCTATTCTTGAAGTAGCTAGGTCTAACAAATCTTTAGTTATCATTGAAAAAAACAATGATGGTAAGGCACTAAATACTTTCGTTATTTTATAGTATAGAGCCCAAAATTGGTATGCTTTGAATAGCTCGATTTAAACTTTGGTACTAATTTCAGTCAATTTCGTTTTTTATTCAATAAGATCGAAATGTTTTAAATACAAAATCACTTGAATATGTGGCGACGTTGTATTTAATGTAATAATTAAAATTTTTACACGTTAAAAACGAACTAAAATCTTGTTCTCACCAAACAGAATAAGTACTGCTGTTTTTTTACAGTAATCCTGAGATTTTTAGTTAGACATAATACCACTATGTTCCATTCTATAGTTTCTATTCATTAATAAAAAAAATAACTTTACGGTTTATTTTCATTCATAAAAAGAAAATAACAATATTCATATAGGTCCGTCATTGTATCTGTATTAAATATGATATTGATATCAGTTTTATAGTTTAATACATCAATTCTCAAACTTTCTGTATTCTTTATTACAGTTATCAATCGATCGCATATAAACTAGTTTTCATAAAGAGCTGAAAAACTGACTTTGCTGCTAAAAAGTAGTGTTTATTATGTTCCCGAAATTACAAAATTTAGTCCCTAATAAAGAGCATTTACAGTAAGTTGGTACCCATTTAAAAAAATATTAGTTCTTATAGTACTTATAATCGGAGCATTGGGAAGTGAAATCGACAATTTCTTTCTTTGTAATTTCTCTCACTAATTTTTTCCCATAACTGAAAAGAAACAGTAAGAAACAGTTAACATAGCGGAAAAGAAACAGTTAACTTAATTCAATGTTAAGTTAACAGAAGATACTGAATTTTAAAATCAAAAACTTCAAAAAAGAATATGAGATGAGAAGCATTTTTCCCAGAAAACAATGAATGTATATTCCTAAGGATTATACCAATCTAAGAAAAGTAACGTAAATGTAAGAACAACAATACAAAATAAAAGAATCACACGTCTAGATGCCATGTTCTGGATTGCTTGACGAATCTGTTCGTTTCCAATTCGAATATTTTCAACTGTTAGCAATGTTGTTTCATTTACAACATTTATATCTCTTTCTTGTTCCGAAACCTGGAATTGAATCAAATTAGCAACTAACAAGACATAAAAAGCTAGATAGAAAAATATAATTATTCTGGTTAACCTTCTCGGCAAATGTCTCTTGCAACAGATGTAACTCCGCCATTTGCTTTTCCACCTTCTGAATATCACTATCCACTTGAAGCGATTGGGAATATAACCGCTCATTTTCTATCATAAGTTGAGTACGTTCATCGTCATCTAAATTATTAAGTGAATCCACATCATTTGCTCGTTCAACTTCATGGAAATCGGATATTTGCACATCAGACCATCCATCCTGCCCTGACTTTCCGACATCATCTTTTCTTATACCTGAAATAACAACCATGTTAGGTGAGCGTGAAAATAAATCGAATTTCTATCAGTAATTCAATTTGAGATTCAATTAACTTTTCACATATTCGGATTACGCTGTTTATCTAGAATGCTTACTGCAGCGAATGATTGAGAAATAAAACAAACCCGTACTCTGAGGAATCCTCTTCCTCAAACCATCCTTACCAAAAATAATGGTATCACTAAGTACTGAATCTGAAATCGACGAGATATTGGCATTCAGTGATATGGTTTCAGTCGAATTTTCATTAGTCAGTTGTTGCGTCAGCACTTCATCTCTGTGTTTTTTCATGTTGTATAATTGCGCCAACGTCGCCAGCCTAAAAACGAATAATTTACTGGTACGAATAATTCATTCAATGGTATGAATTTAAATATATAAAAAATACAGCAAAATATTGCAAAACCTAATAATTTCAAAATCCGACCCAATATGCGCTATATTGGGTTGAATTTTGAGGTTTACAAACTCTGATTTAGGTATTTCAGTGAGATGCAGAGTATCAGGCAGTTGCAAAGCTATTTAAGATATATTCTTAAATTTATCAATCATAAAGATACTACTATGCACTGGATGTTGAAAAGAAAATACAAATGGAAACATTCAAATCATCAATTATCTTATCAAAAGAGCAACTATATATAATGTTTTTTGATACTTAACAACTTAGATTATGCAGCTTTTTTTGAAAACAGTAACAACATCACTAGAATATCCAATATCTCTATAAATCACGCAGCCTCCTTTGTTAAACCAACTAATAAAAAATATACGATACCTGCATGTTCGCCGCATATTGCTTATCTTTTTTGTTCGCAAAGCTCGCATTTCAGCAACAATTTTAGCCGTCGCATTGAGATATCTACCCAACATTCGTAAAACCTAAAACTCTGCTCTACAATTTATATACATAATAACATCCTACTTTTTTTGACAAACTTAATGGCATACACAATTAACAGATTACACTTGAAAATTTTTGATATATGCTGAAAAAAAAATTAAATAAATAAAAGTCTGATTGGTTACAATACATCAGAAACGTAATGGATTAATAGCAGTGAGCGATTAGAGAACAAAAATGATCAGGCTTGCACTATTAAAATAGTGAAACTTCACAGATAGAGTAATCATAATCAGATAGCTATCTATTTGAATGGAAGCAATCCAAAAATATACACCTCGAACAAATGTGGACCTTCATCAAGGGCTCGTAAATTGCTAATGTTGATTTTACGTTGTAAAGCTTGTATTGATTTTATGCAATTTTGCATCATTTCTTCAATTTTTGCATCCAATTCATCTCGTTCAAAATCACTCATACCTATAACTTATATGATTCATTTGAAGATAAAGATGAAGACACGTTACCGAAATCATTCTCTTGATAGTATTATACAGCTAAGTTATGCTTGAACTCTCCTAACAAAAATACATAATGCCAACAAAAAAGTTAGTTGATCTATTTATTGAATATATAAATTATTTTTCACTAAAGCACTCACAAATAGATCGGTGTAAAAAAATTTACCTGAAATTGAATAAAAACGCTCAGCGTGTTGAAAATAACATATCCATCGAAAATAAATGAAACTTACTATCAGTATATGATGCTATTAGTCGTCTGGAATGGCCAATATCGGAAACATAGTTTTTCCTTCCACTGATAACTATATTTCGAAGGTCGATTAATTTTCGACGAATTCTCTGAGCTTCAATTGTACATGACAAAAAATTGAGATTTGAAGAATTACGCGAGAATGCTTCCCCCGACTTTTCTGAACAGACAAAGTAAACTTATTCTGAATTATGAAGAAGATAAATTTGTAAAAGTAGTCTACAAAAAAAAAAAAAAACTTTAAGTTGACTTCTTAACAATTTTCAATGAATACAACCATTGATATAATTTAGAAAAAGCCAAGTAAAATATAAAACACTTCGTATCAAGTACTTTTAAAAAGTTCGGAAATCTGAAACCTGGATGAATTACTTGCTCGAAGTTGTTAAAAGAATTTTCGATTTGTTGTTGCTGTTCTTGCTTTTGATCTCGCTTTAATCGTGCTGCTTCCTGCGCTCGTATCATTTTTATTCGGGCACGAAATAACGGTGTTTTGTCTATTGGCATACTGACCTCTACTTATATGTCATAGATACTCTTGTTGATGCCTAGAAATTTAAAACAAATTTGAAATTAATTCAAAGCCAAAGAAAATTCATTTCACTGTCGCAGCGTTATGTCAGTGTAGTGAAATAGAATAACGGAGGAGGAAGAAATAAATTTTAGCTTTTGCTTTTTTCCACTGTAATCACCAATTTCATTTCTTATTTGTAAAATTTCGATAACAACTACCTGGAAAACTTTTATAACAATCTTTATCTCATATTATTATTTTTAACTTATCGCAGCACAGTGTCTTCCTCCATAAATCAGTGCGAAAAACAAACAACAAACAATAGAAATAAGCTATTTTGGTTATAAGAAGTGCTCAATCTTTTGCTAAATTCAAGAGACATTTTCTTGCATGCTACTTTGTGGTACCTAACAACTCCCTGAATGATGGAGAATTTGTAAAAACTCTGATTTGATAAATATCGGTATTCCTTGCTAATCCCGAAATGCATCTTAAGAATTCACACATTATTTATTAGCCTGATCATGGTAATTACAAAATCTAAACTTAGATACCACCGCCATAAACAGTAAGTCTCCTCCATCAACGCAACATCATCATAATAAGAAAATGAAACTTTTCGAGGGTTTTCAGCATCTCCGTCTTCATGTTATCTTTCAAATATGAATTCTACTTTGAATACGTAGGTTGAAGTATATCAACACTGCTACAATTACGGTTTGTAAATTATCTTCATTAATACTTCCGATCATTCATTTAATATAAAATTACACTGCTCAAAAACTATTACTGTGGGAAGCACAATAATTCAAAAGTTATATTTTATTCGCAAGAGAAAGAAACGTAAAGAGATAATTATTGTAATAATGTCTGTAATAATCGAGTTAAGAGTATGCAAAATAGAATATATATAAATTAAAGAGAAGGAAAATCACAACATGGTTGCAGTTCAGTGATAAGTTCATGAATTTATCATGAAAGTTACTAGAATACAAAAAAGAAAATAATTTATACATAGTGCAAAGGCTATTACACAGAGGATAACTACTATATCGCGAGGCAGAAATTCCGGTCAATTTTTCAACTAACACTAATACGACCAAAGTGTTTTTTTTTCAATTTTTTAAATCGTACCCACTTTCTATTTTTGTAAAATACTAATCTTGATAAAAAGGAAAAGAGTAAACAGATCACATAGAATCAAAAACGAAATATAACTTATATGTAGCCAAAAAACAGGCATGTAACCAAAGAGTGAGTGTGTGTGGATCATATGGAAAAGACAGCTGGAGAGAAATACACATTCTACTGAAGCTAAAAATTGATTTCTCATAAAAAGAAACTTGTAACAGAGATAAAAAAATTTTTTTTCAGTCCTACTTTAATTTACATGCACTTACTGATTTCAGAAATTTAAGCACCACAAAATGGACTGGAATTTTTCAGTTCTAACGTGAACAAGGAAACGATTTTACTGTAACTTAAGACTTATTGTTAAAGCAGTTCTCCTATACAAGCCTCAACAAACCACTGAATAATAAGGATGTTTTCCTAGCGCTAGAGAACTGAAAAATGGGCTTTCTGCTCTTTCCATCATTTTTGAATCTATTTTCAAATATGAATAAAAACAAAATCTCAATTTTCTCGGAAGAAATTTGAAATAAAAGTCCTCTATCAATAAGAAATGTATACTGTAATTCATATCCAATGTAACAATCAATTAAAAATCCATTTTTTGGAAAACTGAAATTTTCAGAAGAAAAAATAAGCGAAAATATAAGGAAATATACTTCCGAGAACAACAGCACTGCATCAGTATGTGCGCGCACAAATCCTCAAGAATGAGCTTTGAAGCTCTTCATTCTATTTATTCCCTGCCCAAACAATGATAATTATAATGAGTATGACGATAATAGCGCACATAATAATGATCATTTTGATATTTTTCCACCAATATTTACGTTTCAGGGTTGCAGCTGATTTTTCAAATTGTGATGCACCTTCCTGCAACAAACAATAATAAATTCCCAAAAATGAAACACAAAAACATTACAGTATATTATCGCTTCCTTTCCTTGCTGTCTCATTCCGCACTGTAAGAAACTTTTAAACAAGCTCTCTGAAATAAATAGCCCCATTATTTCATTCAATCTAATATGACCACACTTTCTTTATAAAAGGGGAAAAAAGGCATATTTTATAAAAGAGCAAAAGGTAATCTAAATCAAACAGAAAAAACGCAATAGGTGTCAAACGCATACAATATTAACCAATCAATATCAAGAATATCAAGGAATAATTATAGTATAAGCGACAAAAGGTTAAGCTATTTTATCTCCTTCTTTAATCTCTGGCACCGATACAAATTTCGATAAACATACCTGCAGAGCATCTGCACGATCGTCTAACTGTGACAGTTTTTGGTCACGTTCCAATACTTTCTCCACATTTACCTGCAATATTTGATAAATTGTACATAATTCAATTTTCCGATTCCACACAAATTTTTTTGTGTTATATCCCTCGTACCATTGGTGAATCAAATATATTATTTAAGAAAAAAAGCTAGAGCGAAGGATAGGTAAAAGAAGCAGCCTCATCGAAGGTATATTTAATCTAGTGTGTAAAATTATTGGGTAATGTTGCCTTTACTGTGGATAAAAACAAAATAAATGATCAACTTTCCAGTGCTTATAATTCTTGCTGCATTGGCTTACAAAAATTCATTTATTTAACAATATGATAATTTCTACAACAAATTTCTCTTTCCCCTCCTCAACTGGAAAAAATGCTTACTTTCATAATTCCAACAACTTCATCTACTTGCGCTTGGGTTTGTTGCAAGCGTTTATTCGACGGCCTACCACCTTGACTTGCCCCCGGCAAACCGCCTTCCTGTCCACCCGCTTCCATTTCTCCAAATAGTTCAATTTACAAAACATTATGAAAATTATGCGAGATTTTTTTATGCGCAAAGCAAAAGACCCAAGAAACACAGCAAAAATGGGACCATCGCACACAAACAAGAGCAAAATGACTAAAAGAAAATAAAAAATTAATTAAACAACAAAATATACATATTAATCAACCTCGCCGGAAACGTGTCTGTTACCATGTAGTATCCAGCTAGACACAAATCTTCAAACAATTTACATTGTCCAAAATCAAAGCATAATCTTATGTAAAAACCGAAACATAATTTTATATAAGAAACATAATTCTATGTACGAGAAAACATTGCTCAAATCATAAAAAAAAGTCAACATTTTGAAAATCATATAGAAATGGAAAGAAAATAATCTATAAATTACCGAAACAAAAATCAATCGTGTTACAAAATTAAACGAATTTATTGGGAAATTGATTTACGTCGTTCATGTTAATACTTCGTCCGTAATAAGTAATATGTCACGTACTTCCGTGAAGCTAAAAAAGGTTCACTTACATTGTTCACATCAATATCTCATCCGGTACGAATTAGATCAACTGACAGCATTGGAAAAAATATAACCGAACCCAATCACAACATGACTCATTCCTGTTCCAATTTTTTGCGGCCGATTTATGCACACGTGTTAACCCGTGATGAAAAATTAAATCTCAGATCAAAGTGTGAATTCTTGAATGTAACATGTAATGATTAGAGAATATCACCAACGTGTAAAACATAACATCGGAAATGATATACTCCGTACGTCACAATTACAAGAGCACGAGACAACAATTGAAGGATAAACGATTATAAAATTTGCAAAGAAAATCATATAATATAGTAATCATAGATTGAAAATGGTTGAATATTAGTAATTTGAAATAATCTAATTTAATTCTCTTCATTTTGACAATGCAATATCAATCACGGAATAAAAAGATTATAATATTGGGAAATATGGAAAAATATTGGAATATCCAAAGAGAATAATAATGGAAGGATTTAAACACAATACATTAAAAAATTAGAAAATAGTAAATCTCTAAGATTAGAAATTTCTAATCCTTCAAAATTCGATAAATTTTACAAAAAAAGACTATGATTAATATTTCACTAACAATCTTCACGGTACAAATTTCCATCTTCAGAAAGTCTCAAAAATAATTCCTTAAATGAAAAACACTACTATAATTTATTTAAAATCTGAATAAGGAAATGTTCTGGTAAAGTAACTTGCAATATTTAAATTTTGTTAAAATGTTAAGGAAAAATTCGAGCGTTAGGATGACTAAATTATCACACACAATGTGGAAAAAAAATGTAAAATTTAAATTTCAAAAAATTTAGAGAACGAGGAAATTTTCTCAAATCCCTTTCCTTTCATTTTTATTCTCGAGATAATTTTATGGCGAGTTTTAAAATAAAACATTTTATTTTTAACTTCAAATTCCTTAATATTTTAAAAAACTTTGTACTGCGAAATATTCAGAAAACTTATTAAACAATTTTAATTTGTCTAACATTTTTATCTCATTTAGAAAAACAAAACGAATGTGAAATGAATTAGACACTTCTTCCGATCAGTAAATTAAAATGACAACAATTTGCTATTCATGAAAAATGACGTGTGACATGATGTAACGTGACATAACCGTAGGCATTTCAGTTACTTTAAAAAGATTAAAAAAGTATTATGCTTCCACTGAATTTATGATAATCGATTGAATGGATTGATTCGGATGATGAAATGGTAAAAATAAAATGGATTAAAATATCATTACAGTTATCACAAATAGCTATTTATGCTACAAAAACTGATAACATAATATAGGATTATATTGAGATCAACTTTAAATGGATTAATCGAAGAATTTCTGTAGAAATGGTTAAGACGAAGCGATATTACAATCTTTATATTCTCGATAATGCTATTCACTGCTATTCGCTTGAATATTTAATCGAATTTCACAAGAGTTGACCGAATGCATACTATCACTTCAAACCAAACTATTAGCTATGAAATGCATTTTCTTCATGAAAAATTAAAATTAATGAAATGTC